TTACATCACCAGAAATTTTTTATTAGTTAGAAAACTTATGAATAGATAGAACCTTTTCAACAGAAACAACATTATAAGAAAATTTTTTAAATGACAACTTTATTAACTTCATGAAATAGAAATATAAGACTATGACAGAAGAAATTATTTCTAAGATTTGAATGATATAATTTTTTCTAGATTTCTTGGTCATACAAAATAAAAAAATTTGTATCACATCAAAATAAATTGATGCTTGTAATCATGTAATATTTGTCGATCAAATTTTCAATTCAAAAAGTAAAATATTCATCGGAGGAACGGTCCATGACGCAAGAATTACCTTCTTGATCCACCTCGTGTAACGAAATATAGTACCTAAATTAGATGAATGACTTCATCGAATGAATAAAAAACTATAAATATTTTTTTTTTCTAGAATTTTTATTCATTTTTAACCTAAATATGAAATGATTACGAATCTAGTTCTTAAATTAAATAAATTACTTCATCCGGAATGAATAAGGAACTATAAATATATTTTTTTTATTAAAATAAAAATATAATATTTATTCTTGACCTATTTAAAGAAATGGGATGTTTGCTGTTACAAATTAGTAAATCGTATGATTTGTAACGTGATTTTAATAGCAAACCTCCCAAATGCGTATCAATCTATTTGAATTTGATTTATTAACAATAATGAAGAATTTTTTCTCTATAAATTGAATAATAATTCACTTTCTTCAAAATTTAATAATTTATAAAATGATTTTCACAACAAAAATCAATATTTTGCTTCTCTTAATTTTAGTAATACATTTGATTTCACTCAAAAGGTAAGAACGAATCGAAAGAATCATTATCTTCAAGTATTATAAATATTAAATATTTTAATTTCATATATAGTATGCCTATGGTAATTAAAGAGTAAGTTATTATTTCCAAAGATAAATTTTATAATCATGATTATCTAAATTCATTTAATTGTTATATAGAAAAAGTAAACCCAAAACTGAATCGAAGCCTAAAGAGCTGCAAAAAAAAGCTGTAAGTTTATTTCGCGAAGAACATTAATTGACCCGAAATTTTAAGGTTACTAATAAAAATTTTAATTATTATATAGTACACCAACAATTACTAATTATACGGAAACTGAAATTGTTACTATCATTTTCAAATATTTAATTATAAAATTAATTGCTAAAAAATAAATGAAACTTTTCTTAGATGCCAGAAAGGCCAGACCCGTTTGATGATTTTCCGTTTGTATCTAATAGTTGATTATTCATGGTAAAGGATCTGGTAATATAAGCTTTCTATAGTTTATACAAAATTGAAGTTTTCTATCTTTATTTTATACTATTATGATAGGAAAAGTTCAGAGACTTTCATAAGTTGTAAATAAATTACTCTAAATATATTTGCTTTTGTTAGCTTTTTATCACCCTCTTTATTCTATCTCGATATTTTGCTGCTTTTGCTTTTTGTTTGTGTTAATTTCGATTTAATGTCAAAACTACACTGTAGAAAAACGAATATAATTTTATAAAAAAATCTTTCTTTATTCACTGATAGCTGTTCTTTATAATTAATTTTCGCTAAGTTGAGCTAAAATAAAATTGACTTGGCTTGATCAATCAAGTTTCTACCTTGATTTCTTTCATCTTTTTTTTTTTTTTATTTTTTTTATTTTTTTGATATATTTAATATTCTATGCAAAAATTTGTAATGGCCTGGACGTTGGAATTCATATATGTATAAATTTTATTGATATAAAGTAATTATATATAGAATTGTTGTAATTAAAATTCAATATCTTGTTCGCAGCGCTTTTTAATAATATAAATATATATCAAATAAACTGATTACCGATTCCACTCTTTTAATTATCGACATAAATTTGTCAGCCGTCTTTCTTCAAAATAATTCATCATTAAAATTTTTCGCTACAAAAAAGTGTGATGGGAAGAGTATTTATTAATCATTCATAGTTGATACTAGACGATGGCGTTAGCTATTCGACTTGAAAATGGTTAATCTGGAATTCCGTGATTACGTAAGGCCATGCAATTTCGATTTTTCGGTTCACGTAACATTGAAATTTTAAAATCGACCCGGCCTAATCATACGACAATCACATTCCATTTAAACTCCGTCAAAATGCATATATACAAGTTACAATTCTAAAGGTTTACCTGTTGTGAAAGAAACAAAATAGATTTTTTTGGAAATATATCGATTCTATATTTTTCACCTGACTGGTGGGGAAGTTGCATGAAACTAATGAGTTTTAAGTTAAGGAATGATACATATCGATAATACAATAAAGCTTTAATTTACCAATAAAATGACACTTTATAGTCACATGATAAACTTTTTATATATAAACTTTTTGGCCTAACAGGTGGATTTTTTTAAAATTTTTTTTTTTAAAAAAAATAATTCTATTTAAATTCTCTTTATATAAACACGTGTCTTAAATTGAAAAAGCTAATTTTAATAAAGAAATTTGATATTTCGATTTATTTTCATAAATTATTAACAATTAATAACTTGTAAATATTTTAATCCTATTTCAAGCCAAGAACTGAAGAGCTTACAAAATATATACATATAATATAACTAGATGTGGGTCAATATTTTAAATCCTTGGCGAGGTCATCAGTGTTTGCTATAAATATACAAGAAAAAAATAAAAGAAATGTTGAAAGACAATTATTATAAATAAAATTAAATCTTTAGTGAAGGTCCATGCGTAAATTCATTTAATATTCCAAAATTTTCATTTATTAGCTGCTATGAATCTGCAATGTTTTCTTCCTTGATATAAATATTCCCTAGAATAGAAAAGTTAGGGTTTACGTCAAAAGAATGGTTTGGCTATAGGAAATTAACTAAATTCACAGCGTTCATTGATTATCCTGCGCCACAATCAAGCGCAATCAATAATTTTATTTAGCATGTATGCCTAAAAGTCTAGCACGCCAAAGGTAAAACCGATATACTTCTTTATAATGATGCCTACTGCAACTCAACGATTCGGTAAATCGATTCTTTAAAATTTACCACAATTTTAAAATATTAATTAGTTAAAGGTTTTAAACTTTTGTGAAAGAGCCTTGTTAATTTATTAATAAATGAATTTACCCGAATTTAAATTCGTGATTGCATTATTCTCATCAAAATGGCGAAAAGTTTCAAACAACGTATTACCAAAATAAAAATTTATTATGTAAAAATGATTTACATGTATATGGAAAATCAGAACGATTCGCTTGACTGGTACGGTACGTGTTGCAGATCAGTATTATTTCGCGAAATTTGATAGTAGAGCTTTTATTACAGTACGAATTTTAGAAAATTTATTCAGATCGTACTGCATCATTACCCAGAATTTTTAAATTTCTGGTTAATTTTTAATTCAACGGTATGTTTGTCAAAAATAAATTTCATAAAGAGAAAAGCATTGCTATATATACTACGGTACGAATTTACAGAATTAGTCCGTATTGGCCATAATATTATATATAGAACCAGTACATCCGCAACATCGTACCGTACCGGTCAAGCGAACCGGTTTTCTATCTACCCATAATGTATTTAGCATTAAACCGACATTAAACTAACCCTAACATCACATAATAAAAATATATATCACATGACCATGTTTCAATACACCTCGTGTTTACTTAAGAAATTTTAAAAAATATTTTAAAATTAATAAAATTTATTAATTTATTTTTTCTAAATTTTTTTTATATACAGTATATCCATTATTTCAAAATTAGATTAAGAAAATGACAGATATGTTGTATCGGCTTCAACATTGTCAAGATAGCAATGGGATTTATGATCCTGAGGAATTTTTATGTCATTGCTTCTAACGCACCTGAGCTACGCAAATTTTTTGATAAAAAACAAATCTAGATGGAAACAAATACTACTAGTAAAACCGAGCTGTAGTTCTTTGTTTATGCTTGCTTCTTTCGTAAGAAACAAGTAAAGTTTTTTTCAGCAGAAAAAGGCATTGATATTTATCAAATATGGGAATTTCAAATCAATTAATCAAACTAGAGTGAACATAAGAAAAGTTTGATTTAACAAATATGATATATTTTATATATTTGCCAATGATCGTCATGTGATTCTAAATTAGTAATGTTCCCTATCTTTTTATTTAATATAAATGACGTTCAAGGATTAATGATATAGACAATAAACCAACACCGTACATCTCTGACGAATTAGAATAATAACGATGATTATTTTATTCGTCTAATCTTAAAATTACCATCTTGATTGAATAAATTCTTTAAGAATTTCCTTATTTCTCTATTTCTAATAGAAACGAAATTTGGAGATTTATTTAGTTTGAAAATTAAGTGTGCAGAACTCAAAGAAGGGTTAAATCATTTGCTCTATGGAATAAATTTTGGTATATTGATAGGTCGAAAGCATTATTGTTAAAGGATGTAAATAATTTATCAAAAATTTTGGTCCAATAAAATTGCCAATCTATAGATGATTATTATTATTTTTTTTTATTTTACGGGCTTTGGTATTTTACTTTCTTATGATAATGCTTTAATGAAACACGAATTAAAGTAACAAAATAATTGAAATATGTAAGGATCAGGTTTTTTCTGAGCGACAAGTAAGACGATCTACGACAAGGCTCATTGATGTCACTTTGTTGTTTTTCCAATCATTATCGTGATTTTACAATAGATTGTTCTTTTACTCAAAGTAATACTCAAATGTCGTACAAATATCTAATTCCACAAGACTCGATGAACAAAAGTTCTATTTAATTTTTTTTTTTATTTAGCCTTTCCAAAATTTACATATTATATTTAATGAAAAAAAATAAAAAAAAAATTTGAAAATGAAGATAATTTCCGAAATAAAAGTAAAAATCGTTCTAAATTTGGGTGTTAACGTTGAGTAGTTGCAAAAAATAATTTTTGAAATATAAATTGGTCACAATTAATGATTATTATGAAAAAAAAAAATGAACGTTATTTATCATCATACTGTTAATAGAATTTTCTCTTTCGGCTTCTTCTTCTTCACCTTCTTTGTAAGTTTCTTATCATTCTTTTTCATGTCCTTTTTAATACTTTCCTGCTTTACATCCTTGTTATTCATTGCAAAATAATATTCCACCACATCAGAAGCAAATTTCTTCATTTCTTCATTCATACCGCTAAGCAACATTCCTGAACAATAAGCTTCCATCCTTTCACCCAAACAACCAGCAACAGCAATGTTCTCTTTAGAGATCATTTTATCTAATTCACAAACTTTTGCTACCTCACCCAAAAATTTTCTTGTGATTAAATGATTATAGATATTTAAAAACACGGTTCGATTTGCGTCGGGAATTTTTAAATTTAATGCTATGGTTGTATAATAATTATATGCTCTGTCCCCATACAAACGATAAAATCTATAACTCTTATTGTATTGATGGTCGCCCTTCCTTGTTCCTAGCGAAAGAACCGAATCACGATGTTCTTTATTTTTGATTTCTGGGAGTGTTATTTTTTGCTTGGGGGATGAAGTTGATGAGAGAGGTTTTGATTCGTGCGAACGAAAACCAATAGGGTACAGAAATCTGGTAGACGAAAGATTCTTGAGAGTGGGTTGAAATCGGAACATGTTTTTTTAGTTAAACTTTTTGTTTTGATTTTTTAATGGCTTTTATAAAGAAAATTACCCTTACATTGAATTGTGTAATGTGATAAGATGCATGCATAAAGTATATCCTTTGACAAAAGTCCGATGCAAATAATAGTGATGATGATTAAACATTTATAAAATTTATAATATTATTTATTATTCTTGGTCATCCAAAGTATTTACTTAAAACATCATCATTCCCAAAACTATAATTACAGAAAAACTCATTCGTGAGGTGATTGGTCAACTCTGGTCGGTAAAGCTTAGAACGCATTTGTCAAATTACAATACATTAATGTATTTTATGTTTTATAAATTAACTAACAATTGTATTTCATGTTTCAATACTACATGCTGATCGTGATATTTCTGGCTATATCACATTACACATGTAATTATTATTATACTATATCAAGGAACAATTATAAAACGTTATACCCGAGTTCGTAACACGAAATTAAAACAAACTTCAAAACATGTTTATTGATATTACTAAAAAGGTCAAGAGGTTATTATCGCACGTTTTGAAACAACTAAAAATATCGATCAAGAGATAGGCGTGACGGAGTACATTTTATTAGGACTCCGTTATCGGCGATTTGTTTTTCCTTTTGGCCTTTCAAAAAAAAAAACAAGGGGTGATTACTCCCCTTTATCATTAATCATCATTTCTTTTTGCATCTCATTATCATTATCGTCAACTTGAATTTTTCCTTCTTGAGCGACCTCATTCTCGAAATAATAATCAACTACATCAGCGATAAACATTTTCATTTCATCTTCCATGCCGTTTAATATGTACAGGGCAAACTGTGCCTCAACATTTTCGCTCAAGATTCCGTCAGACATGGGATAATTTTTAGCCAACTTGATTGATTTGTCTAGACCACATTCGGTGGCTATTTTCGCAAGAAAGCTTCTTGAAATAAGTTGATGAGTTCGTATTGTGAGTTCCGCATTACTCGCATTAGGCAATTTATTATATAACTCCCTCGCTATGAAATAATTGTAAACTTTATCCCCGTAAAAACAATATCTTTTGTATGAATGATGATTGTTTTGTGGCGTTGATGGATGTGTTAAAACCTCATCGCGAAGCGCTTCGTCTTTTAATGGTGGTAGTGTGAGTTTTTTTTGTAACTTTGAGGATGAAATGAAATTTTGTTTCCGTATATTCAGGGTAAATTTATGTAAATTCTTGAAATTATTTATTCTAAACATTTTAAGGGAGGAAACCGTTTTTTTTTTTTTTTGAAAAAGGATTTGTTTCAAAATATCCACATATAGTTAATCAATTTTTCATGTGATAAATTCAATTTATAGATATTTTGGGAATTGATATCTCTAGCTTAATATAGTACTAAAAAAAAAAAAAAAAAAACTTGATAGTAACACGTATTTTAAAAAATAAAATATCTCACGAAGCGCGCACAACTTTCGAAAGAAAAAGATTTGGGTTCTTTGAGTTTTAGGATATTTATATTAGAAATTTATTTCCTCAATTAAAAACTGCGATTATTGTTTAATTTCGACGATCAAAAAACGCCCCGTGTCATCACGTGAAATATTATTAATAATATAAAATGGAACAATTATGGAAAAAAAAAATTATTTATTTATTACCGATCTTTTTCTTGAGCAAAACCCTTTTAACAACTTTTTAATACATTATCATTCCCAAACATGGCTTCTTTCTATGACGAAATAGAGATTGGTTAGATAATATAATTAAGCTTATTTTTATTGTATCTTTTGCTTTTTTATTTCGACCTACCATTTAAATTTTTTTTTTTTTTAATTTAGAGGATTTTGAATTTGACGAAGAAACGCAAACTTATCATTACCCATGCCCATGTGGAGATCGGTTTGAAATAACAACGGTAAATTTATCAATTCAATTTATTCTAACCTGGACATTTTATTCATATTATTTATCTTATTTTTTAGGCTGACTTAATGGATGGAGAGGATATAGCTAGATGTCCGAGTTGTTCTTTAATGGTTCGAGTAATATATGATCCGGTAATTTAACTTGCTAATTCTTGTTTATGTACACTGAACATTTTAATTGACCTCAAAAATGTTTAGGACGATTTTCAGGATGATAATCAAGAAACGACTATAGATCTCGGAAAACAAGAGGTCGTCGCTATGTGAACTTACATCGCTTCATTAATTTGTTAAAAAAATAATTTAAACGGGAAGGAAGGGATTAAAATAGATGTAATAGATATATCATCCATATTGGTTTTTACCCACTTTATGACTTTTGAGATTATATATGATTTACTAGTTGTATTATTATTTTACATAATTTTATTTATTTTATAGCATCATCATCTAAGTTTACCAATAAACTTCAGCGATTGCGTTAATCCACGCATCACTGAATTTTAGTTTCCAACAAAAAGGAAATCGTTTAATGATAATTGGGGATGGGGGGAGGTAAACAGGCGAAGAAAGAAGATTTATATTTAACACGTTTTCTCAGAACCTTTGATTGATTGATCGAATATTATATAGTATTGAATCTTAAAGTGAAATCATTAATAAAGAGCAAATTTGGTCAATTAAGTATTGAGTAATACAAGTTGATGTCGAATTTGAAGTTCATCATTGATAACAAATTGTTATTTGATTGTCCTAAATCAATGTATTGTTAGGAAGCAAGTTTATAATGCGAAATCATAACATTTTTAAGTTTCTTTGAAAATATTTCTTTTTAAAATAAAAAAACTTTTTTTTTAATTTAATGATATTGATTTGCCATCTAATTAATTAAGTATTTGCTTCTGGATATTATGATTGGTTTTGTTAAATAAAAGAGTTTTGTATCGCATAACAACATACTTTTCTCTCCGTTGTACTTCCTTCTTTCCCCATTTTCTTCCTGCTTTAAAGGAATTTTCTTTCTTTCTACCCGCTAGCAATGTTATTGTCACGTTTGACAGTGTGATTGACAACATTAGATTTGGTGATGTGTTTGGTCGTGATAATTAAGATATTTCACATATGCGGTACGTATAATGCAAGCGCGGTTAATAAATGCTTGACCTAATTGATTCACACTTTTAATAATTTAGACAATGTTTCAATTATTTTCATGTATGCCAATTGTGGTATGCATTGCTAATTAAAAAGACAGCAAAACTATATATTGAAAAATGATTTTAAAATTGAAACAAACATTAATTTATTTTTAAAAAATTTATTATAAAATGAATAGAAATTTTATATGCCCAGATCGAATGATCAATTATCTTTTTAAAATATCTTGCATTCAATTTATTTTTATGAAAAATCCTTAGTAGTTACGAATTTTTTTTTTTTAAAGCTTTTTCTATATCAAAGTTTGACGTTGTAAATCAAATTTTAGGTATTCAGCTAAAGAAAATTGGGATTAGAAAAGCAAAAGGAAGACGCAGAAATATGATTCGACGCATTTAATCCCAATAACTGATAAGCTGAATTACATCTTACTATGGTTAATGGATTACGAAATTTCTTAGCATTTCTGCATGTAAGTATACTTTTGACAAGAATGCTAAACCGTAGGATAAAATACGCATGTTGAATTCATCATGACGAGACGCGTCAAATGATAGTAAACTCATACCTCTAGCATCGATCGATGACTAAACGATTCTAAATCGTTATTAACTAATTCATATATCGGTGCAAGCTACGATTATTCTTTAGCGGTTTATGTTGCTTGAATTAAGAGTCGCTTTGAGTACCACTTTACTCTTTCATTGCCATGGCTTCCTTTGTCTAACCGTTTTCTTCCTTTTTCAATGTGAACCGCTATTCTAAAAATTGTTAAAAGTGTGTCAACAAAATAATTTTCAATCGTGATTTTTCTGTTGATACTTCGTGAGACTTCCTCATCATCATTCAGAGTGTTCTAGCAAATAATTCTTCAAAATAAATGACATCGATGATTTAAATTCTTTGGCTAGCTACTGGATTTCAAGATTTGCCATTTCAATGTTACTAATTGGACACGTTTTAGGAATTATTTATTTATCCTGTTTAATATTTCAAATAACCACGAATAGATGTAAAATGAATTTGTACATTCTGTTTTGTAATACTTCTCTGTTTTCGCAAAAACTTTTTATCACCAAAAATCGCGGAATGTAAAAGGATTTTTTTGTAATAACCGTCAAAATTAATAATGAGATTTGCAAAATTTTTGTGTGTGTATCCTTTTGGTGATAAAACCTTTATGAATTTTCTAGTATTATGCTTTCATCTTATCGTAGTAAAGGTCATCTATTAGCAATTCGTAACTTTATTGGTAAAATTTCATCAATCGCAGTACTTATCTAACATTAAAAGCGTGCATTTCACAATCATTAAAATGGCAATTGTCATCACCATTTTATAAATTCAAGCAAACAACGAAATTTTATTGAAAAGAATTGAAAAGAATTAGATCTGGTATGATACATTATTTAGTTATATTCAAACTATCACCTTTTTATTTTACAAAGAAATATTAAATTTTTAATTACAACTAGTTTCATAATTCCTGGAAAAATTTTTCAGTTGATAATTTTATATCAAGTCACATAATATATATAGAATCATTATTGATCTAAATCAAATAAAAAGATAATTTTTTAAATTTCTCATTTTAAAAATGATATTTATAAAAGAATATAATAAAGTATTGAATAAAAGGTTGATTAAAGTTGAAAAAAAGATGGAGAGACTGGAGACGTTGAGAAGAGATTCAGAAGAAGATATGTTGATAATTACAAATTTAGAATGAAAAGAAGAAGAATTGGAGAGAGAAAAAAAAGAATGGGAAGAAGTAAGAAAATGGAGTGAGTTATTGAAAAAGGAACTCAACAGATAAAAAGGTAAAATGAAAAAAATTATTCATTTTTTTCCATTTCATTTATTTTATCTACTTGTAAAGATTTGGTATAATGTTTATTAAATTATCATAATATTGATTAATTTGTATTTTATGTATCACTCAGATTCATTTGAAAATATTAATAAAGAATAAATATTTACAAGTAGCACTTATAAATATTTCTTATTTTTGCTGATTTTAATAAAGTTTATTTATACAGTATTCAAAAAACATTATATTGAAAAGAAGTTGAGAGCTACTTTCAATCTTAGGTTTAAATAATATATTTAACTTTTTGTTTTTTTATTCATTTTGTTTATAAAGTTTTTTATACTTATAATAATACAAAACCATGATATTTCATTTTATAAAAGAATCTTTATAGGCAATTTATTATGTAATTTATGAAGCTAACTTTTAAAAACTATTTTATTTTAATGAAAAAATTCTTATTTATAATAAAATGAAAAAAGTTAATTGATTAGTTATATCATAATATTATTCTTAAACAAATAAAAAATGAACATGTATAGATAAAACATATTTTGAAGGGAATTAAAAATATTAGAAAAATAATAAATATTATATATTATTACCTATATTTAAAATTGTTAAACAAAATCTAAAGGTTTTGCAAGTTGCCTAAATAAAAAAAGGTAAAATTTAGCAAAATTATATTAAAATCTTATTAAAAATCTGCGAAATTCTGAAAAAAGTAAAATTATATCAAAGCTTATAAAAATGTAAAACTATATTAAAATCTTAATAAAAAATTAGTGAAACTAT